TACGTAATAAAAAAGACTTGAGTAGCAAAAAATAAAAAAAAGTTCAAAATAAGGTCCTCTGCGCGTTCAATATTAATTCAACAAAAATAATTCGGTTAAGGAGCTAAACAAATCATGTCAGAAGAGATATAATCCCCCTAAATTATAGGGGCGCCCGTCAAGGTGCTTGCCCGATCTAAATAGGTTCCTTCTACCTGCACTGGTTCCGTCTGATATTATAATACGATATCTACTTTTTAAATATAATTGTGGGGTGGTGGGTGGCTCAGTGGTAGAGTCTCTGCCTGCGGATCCAAGGATCCCAGGTTCGAATCTCACCGTTGGCCGGGATTTTTTTATTTAAAATTAATTCTTATACTTTGGTAGGATTCCCCACTCGACCATTCACTGTTGGGTTCTAATTAACAGTGCAGTTCCTAAAGTGGCTCAAGGAAACACTAACAAAGCCTGTCTGTAGGAGTATTAGAGTACTAATACTCCTGCACTATGGAGTATTAGACTACTAGTACAATCCACAACCTACATAGAACACGAGGCTAATGACCTTAGTTGTTGAAGCCAAAGATACCAGTGAACAAAAAAATATAATTGTGTTGTTTTATAAAATAAAATAGTTTATTTTCGATATTCTTACAAACTCAGTTTTTTTTAATACTAACCTGTACTTTTAAAAGATTGGAGAATTTTTATATTCTTTCTAAATATCTACTGTGACTTTATGGATTTTTTTTAATCAGTAAGTACATCATTAGGTATTTTTACGAAAACAGTATTTTTAGTTTATCAAACTTCATTTGCCTGAATTTATTTGTTCAAAAATTATTTAAACAGTCGCAATACACATTTCCTATAGAATTCGGCGCAAAAATCAATTATTATCACATTAATTTAAATATAATTAATTTGAAGTGTTAAATAACTATTGTATTGTAATGATTAACCAAGAAATATGTGATTTTTATTATCGTTGTCATTGATCTTCGCAAACAATTCATTATCATGGCCACTTTAGTTTGAAGATACTTATCTGTTTAAATAATATGTTTGGATGTCTGCGAAACAATTCCATTTATTTTTTTTTTTTTTAGCAAAAAAAAAATATGTAGGTAGGAAGTTCATGAAATTTTATTTATCAGATTAGTTAATTGCGACTTTAGAAAAATTGATTTTGTGTCAGACAGATAAACATGTCCAATAGTACATGGCTATATACAGAGTGGAACCGGAACTAATTCTGTAACTGGATAAATAAATGTTTGTCACAAAATTCCAGAAATTTTTTTTTTATTTTCAATGAGGCATATTACAAAGAGATTTGTTTTTCTTTTTAATTATCTGGGGGTTGCAGACACCACCAACTTTTTTTTATATGGAAGGGTAGGTTGATTAATTTTTTATTTGAAAGCTTTTTCAATTACAAATACAATTATATTTTTTTTTGTTACTTTTTATAAGCAATGTGTCGGAAAAAATGAAATAAAGAAATATTTACTAGGGTCCATTTCTTTTCTAATGTACTTTGGACAGACCAAGTAGGTTGATATTTAGGCTCTTCCTGCTGTTGCGGTGGCCGAGATTTATCTTGTTGGATCTCAGAAAATTTGTGGGCCCACTGTTTTCCCATAATTAGTCTCTCTTGAGAAGGTTCGCCCTGAGCTGAAAGTGGTCTACCGATTAACTGTCTATCTACTGAATAACTAGAAGTTGTAGATTTTGGTCTCTTAAATTCAGTTGGTGTTTTTGTAGAGCTACTTTCAAAAGTACGACTGTAAGATGAAGAGGATGTTTGGAACGAAGACAGTTTATTGGGCTGATGGGAAAATTTTTGTTGCTCCAGTTGGTGCTTCATGGAGCGATAAGTCTTTTTGGCTTTCAGAAATTCTTTTAATCCTTTGAGAAACATCTTCGTGTTTCTTGTATGACGGTGGCGGCTGAGGAGCGTAACAAATTTCAGCTGGTGGTTCAGGTTGTAATTGAAAATCTTGTGTAATTTGAGTTGTAGAAAATGACTGGAAATGTGTTTGAGCTACCCACCCAATAGTTTGGGGAGATACTGGATGGACTGGAGTGTTAGTGGTTAGAATAAAAGGTCTTGAAGACCTGTGAGACTTTGTTTTTTTTTTTTCCATAAAATAAAAATTGTTTTTGCCGAGCATAAATTGAGGTAATTCGTGGGAGAATGAAAATACTAATAAAGGCTGGGCTCGTTGTGGAGTCGAAGTTTTAGCATTTTATCAATGATAAATTGTATATTGTTAGCTTTCATCTTGACATTTTCAACTTTAATTTTTGAGAAAGTCTATACCCGTTGGGCTGCAAGTATAACAGGTTTGGCTCTTAGCTGTTTTAAGTTTGTTTTTCAAGTGAAAGAAACTACTGAAGTATTTTAAAACTGGTCTCAAGTTTGAATACATTTTGGCAAAACAGGATGACCCTTTTAGAAATTTCCTAATATACATTTTCTTTTATTATTCAGAATTTCTTTAATGAAAGTTAGGGACTATTTATAATGAGAGCTAGGGCAGAACTCTTGGTTATAAGGAGTTCTAAATGAAGGTTTGCTGCTGTGAATAACTAGGTTTAATGTTGATATGTACCGTAAAAAGCATTTATTTTTTTTGTAACATGGGATGGTTGAGTTTCCCATTTTGGTACAATCACTATGCCTTCTGCTTGGTCTTTCTAATTTTAGTACTTATACAAGAAATGCATCAGCTACGTAACAATCGAGTTCTCGCACACTTTAGATAAAAACACTTTTTTTATGATGAGTCATAGAGATTGTAAAGAATCAACCGTTGCATTACAGTTTGAGACATTCATCACTAGATTTAGATGTAATTAGGAAATCATTAAGGTTATTTCCAAAAGCCTTAGCTGATGCACTACCGGTTTTAAAGTGTTTGCAAAAACATATTGAGCAAACGGTCAAACCAAATATAAAACACTTAAATTCGTAAGTTTTTTTTTTTAAGTAAAGTACTTTCCTGATTTTTTTCTGTATTGAGATAAGAGGCATCCTTTAATTTAATTTTTGACAAAATTGTCCTGAAACAAAATATTCTGGGCAGACCTGAGATCTTCCAGTTTGAAATGAGAGAATCTATATATTTATTAAAGATGAATCTAGATGTATCATTTCATTTGGGTCTTAAAAAATATGAGAACCAAACTAATTTTCTTTAGCAAGCAAACACCTGTTGCATTCTTTAGTACAAGTTTTTTTTTTATTGAATTGTGTAGGTTAGTTTTTTTCCCTAAGAGAAAACATCCTTTGGTGAAAACTCTTTTGTGTTTTAAAGATTAATTTAAAACCTTTAACATATCTTAGGACCTTCTTATCATTAGTTAAGTTAGCCCATATGTTTTATAAATTTATTCAGTCTACCAGCAATCTATCTTACCTTTATTTCCTTCCCTAATAACTCCATCTCTCCTCACTGTTTTTCTGAATACTTGTTGGTTCATCCTTTGGGTTTTGTATTTCTCCTGCTCTTTCTCTGGCCTGGTTTTCTTTAGTCGCTAATTAAAAGTAGGCGCCTGAAGTTTAAAGACTGAAATTATTGTTTGCTTTTAGTTGGTGCCTTTAAATTAATTGTATGCTAGTTTTTCAAATGCTTTGTCTGACTTCCATATCTCTACAAGATTCTTTCCAAAATGAAAAACCATCGATATCTGCTTTTTCTATCATATTTTTCACATTTGTGTTTAAAGACGGATATATAAGGTGCCTACGATGCATATATTCTATGGTAGATGTCTGATAATACTTTTATTACATTTGCATTTGTTTTGATGCGTCTATTTCTGTTCCTTCCAAGCCTAGCTTACAGAGGTTCAGCTAAACTTCCCATCACCTTTCAAGTTGGTTTTGCAACATATATAAATAGCTGTCGGTTTTATTTGATGACGTGAGTAGTCACTAAACTCTTTAGTACGGAGTTTAAGGGGACCCAAGTGAAAGTATTCCAGATTTTGATTTCGCAAAGAAACTTTGATATTTTGCCATTCTCCAAACCGTCTTGCAAATATTTTCCCAACTTTTTACCATTTCTTCGTTGATTGGTTTTCCGAGAGAGCTGTTGCTATTAGGATCCGCTCCCAGAATATCCTGATACTGAAGTTTATCTTTATTATTCGAACGTCTATTTTAGTGAAGATGACAAGTTTAATGTATATACACCTCTTAGATTCTGATTCTGTATCAACTAAAATCTATATTTAATCAATGGCTAATTCATGTGTACATAAAGGGGCATTTTTTTTAAGGTGCAGGATTTACCCATACAGTAATATAATCAATGAGCTTTGCGTAGCATTTTTGCGTCCTTGTATTTTATAAGCATAAGACCAGAGTTACCAGACATTATTTTCCAACCTGTGCTCTGAATTCCTTCATTTCTTTTTCAATTTATCGTATTTCTAATACGATTTACGTTTTCCATAGTTTTACCCATGTTTTTATAATCGCTGGAATGTAGTCGGTTTAACGATGTGAATCAGGCGACACAACAATTGGTAATGAGTAATGTAGGCAGGCAGCGATAGAGAGTGGCGTAAAATTTTAAATCTGAACATGTGGATCAGCGGCGTAACATAGGTATACTACATGGTTATCTTCATTTTCACTAACAAGGATATGAAGCATAATTTGTATTTTAATTGTATATTTTCAAATTCTTACTATTGTATTGTTATATGTAGTTATACGTTTTATTTATTATTATTTTGTCGTATTTTTTGTCACCCACAATCTGTCACTGTACTGTACAGTTAGCAGATTCAGTGACACATTTCTTGTTTATTTACATTTTATTTCCTAATGTATTTTATTGTATCTGAATGTATATATTTCTGGTAAATAAACATTATTAATATTACACCCTGTATAATAGCCTTGATATTTTTCGTTAAAGGCTAAACCATTTAACCTTTTATCTATAAATCATGTAAATATTGTCTTTAAAGTTTATTAATAATTATTAATTATTTGTTTACAGAAATTTGACAACATGAAGAGCGGAAATCGTAACAAAATTATTTATAAGGAAGTCGTCGTGGTGGGTAAGTTTTTTTTTTAAATTTTATACGCATATATTATCTAGATTTCGGAAAATCCAATTTATTATTTTTATCAATTACAGAAAATGTTATCTATTGTGTTTATTATTCGATTTTAGAGGAATAAATGTACTGTGAAAATAAAAAAAAAATCTGAAAGATAATTCACTTAATGCGCATCGAAAATGTTATCGAATGGTATCTGCACGAATTGATAAATACTTGGCATATAAATATGTCGAGTTATTTGAAAATTCTATCACGCTAAATCATCTTCGAAATATTTATTTCAAAAAAACGTTTTAAATCTTAATATTTACAATTCCTATCGTAATATCGTACGAAATATCTCGACGAAAAGACCAGAAAGATTGGAACAACTCAAAAATATGGGGCCAATATCCCGAAGATGTCCGACAGATCAGTAGCGTCTTTAAAAAGGTTAAAACTTTAAAAATCAGTATACAAGTAAACAATATTATAAACAATTTGAGACAATTCTTATTTCCTTAAGAGGGGTGTAAGTTGGTTCAGCCCTTTTTGAAATATTGGAAAAAGATATTTGGTACAGAAGGGAAAAAGTTAATACTTTAAAAATCAAAAAACGAAAATAAATCAAACTCAAATGTGATAGACGTAAAATAAAATGAATAAAACTCAAAGCCAATATCACATAATTACGAGCGACCGTTTCCCTTCAGAAAACAACTACTCCTTTGCCTAATACCGCAACAGATATTGAATTATATCCGAAGAAAAAACAGCTGAGTTGGAAATTAAATTTCAACACCTTTGATTTTGCTTACTAAGGAGAACATCATTCTTGAACCGGTTTCTTCCTTATTAGGACTCTTCAACAAGAAATAGATAGGTTCTCAATTCCAGTCTCTAACGGAATTAACAAATGCTACACTGTACTGTCTTTGAGTACCTTCAGAATTTGTTCAAACTACAATAATTTGATACTGTACTGTTAGGAGCAAAAATATTTTCTCGGTTCTCACAAGCTATAAAACATGGTCTTTTACATCATAAACAGAGACAACACAGCGAGACGTGTAACTCAATGTATTTTTTTTGTTCGGTAAAAGTTGTTTGGGCGACCAGTCTATGATGGCGCCACTAGTAAATAGCGGGAAAATTTAAAAATGCTTTAAGGCGGGAAATTCAAACATGGATTCAGAAATAAATAGTTTTTCTATACAAATTTACAGGAGAAACAAAAACTATTGTTTCACGGTATATTAAAAAATGTAAAAGCTTCCAATAACATCAAATTTTTTATAATATAAATAATCATTTTAATAATATATATATTTAAACTTGGAAAAACTTGGAAAAATAATACACCAAACTCTTTTTCTATAAATTATATTTCTGTAAGGTACTGAAAAACAAACTACAATTGCTACGTTTAGAAAGTCCTCGTATCATTTTGTGATAAATTACAAAGAAAGTCACAGTTATATTTAAAAAATAATGTAACAAATATTTTATAAAGTATAGAGTCTATCGATACCTTTTTACCAGACTATCATAAGTACCATTTGAACAAATGTCGCTTACGTTAGTGTGGCAAAAAGGTATCGATATGTTATGACTGTTTATTTTAATAGAAACCATGAAAACGAAACACACACATACATACACTCACACAAATGTATAAGGCCTGAGTCAAGTAAGTTCCCATCCTGTAAACTGGATCGAAACCTGCTAGACCCATTCCGTACACCCCCCTGCTAACTCCTCTTAGGGTCATCAAGATCAATAGATTTATATGCCATGCCTTCTAAAAGGGAATGAAGGATGACATACTATCATCATTTAAACAGGACGTTGCTGAAGGCTTACCCCTGTTATGTGGTCTGTTTGTGTATCTTGTGCGTGTGCATTCCCATTGTGTCCCCAGTCATGCAAAAATGTTCCTAGTCTCCTAATCTGCTGACTAGGTGGACCTTCTCCAACTATAGTCTATTTTTATGTATGAGAGAGTATTAAAATAATAAAGCGTTCGTAATCCATAGGCGTACCACTTCTTTTAGTAGACAGTTAAAATATTTTTTGAAGTTATTCCTCGAGTATACACTTATATTTTCACCTAATTAACCTGCTTATAACTTCTAAACAGCTGAAGGTAAAAAAGTGCAATTTTTTCTAAAATGTTTTATTTTTCCACAAGGTATGTTAAGAACATTGTGTCAAACGGGTTATGTAGGTATAAGGGTTTAAACTTTGACTTTTAAACAACGTTACGTTCATAAATAATAATTTTAATATAAAAACTACTTCTTACCTACAAATCCAAATCAGAATCGAAATCAGAAGATGAACTGTCGCAACCAATATTTACAATGAGTGGCTCGATCATTTCATTAGTAATATTGTCCAACTTCCACATTTTCTCTTCTTCTTTAATCGTATGATTTACTGCCTTTTCCCAGTTTTCAGGCTTCACATTATTTACAGCCTCCAAAAACAACTGTTTAACATCACTCATTTTAAAAGAATTATTTTTTCTTGAAACCTCCCTTTATCTGTGCCCATATCAGTTCAATCGGGTTTACTTCGCAATGATATGGTGGTGATCTAACCACCGTCATCCCACGATTTTTTGTAATTTCATCAATTTCATATTTTTTGAATTTCTCTTTATGAAGGCAACACAAATGATACAGTTCTTTTCTCACAGAACCGGGATGGAACTTAATATTCTTTGAATTTAGCCAATTCTGTAAATCTTTTTTTAACCACTTGGTTGTGGGCATTTTTTCTATAAGTCTCGAGTCATAACTTGCATTATCTATTACTATTATACAGTTCTGAGGAAGAAGATCTATAATTTGTTCGAACCACTCTTTAAAGACATCAGCATTCATGTCCTCATGGTAGTCACCGGTACGAGTAGATTCAAAAGTCAATAAACCACCTTTAACAAAACCATTTGAACTACCGATGTGTACTATTATTAGTCTGCGCCCCTTTCCTAATGGTGGATTTAAACCAGTAGATAAATTATTTAAAAAAGCCTGTCTTCGACTTGTAACAGTTTCATCTTGCCAAAATTTATTTGGTTTATGTCCCTCGTTGATCCATGTTTCATCTAAATAAAATATATTTCTTCTTTGGTTTCTCATTTCTTTTATAGTCCTTAGGTAATTTCTTCTCCATACTACAATATCGCTTCTTTCTATTGAAATAGACTTTCTGGAATGCTTTTTCCATAGAAAACCTATTTCTTTTAAAAGTTTCCATAGTGTGCTTCGACTCATTTCAGGGTAATCCTTATCATCTCGAACCGTGGCAACCAAGCGTACTACTAACTAATTCCACTGTGTCATCAACACTTTTACATAAATGTTTGTCTGTAAATGATTTAAAACAATTAAATATTAATGATTTTTTGTCGTTTACGCGGCCCTTCCAAATTTTCCATGATCACACTAGAATTCACACTGAAATTTGTTGGGAAGGTATTTATCTACTTATAATTCGATTACTGTAAGAAATTCTTGGAATTAAAATAAAACAAAATTGGCAAATAGGTACTTATTGAAAATAATCTTAAGATACGTAATCTTTAATACACAGGGCTTTTGGCCTATCCAAACCTTTTTCTATTGTTCTGTACAGCTTATGTTTATAAAGGACCAATAAAAGACCCAAAACTTGTAATAGCGCAGGTACATTTATTACAATTTTAAGAAATATTTAGATTATTCTGTAAAAATATTTAAAATGACCGTACTAAGTTTTGCATTAGAAATGCTGTTTTATTACTCTCTCATACATAAAAATAGACTATAGTCGTCTAATCTATTCAATCTGCTCTCCAGCAGGAGGTACTTTTCAAACATAGCAAATAATAATATTAATAATAAACACTATTTAAAGATGAATACATTTTTGTAATTTTTTTGTCGTTGTCCCTTACCAGGGTATACCTATTTTCCATACTCCCTTAATATACAATACCTTGTTAGTTAGTTTTATTGGAGAGAGATAAAAATGCGTAAAGATCAATGTAAAAGAGAAAGTGATATATCGCCGGTGTCGTTCTAATACCTCGTAAGCCCAAAAGTAACATTTTACAGGAGAAGCCAAAAACCGTTCTGTTTATTTATTACTATTACTATACGAGGTATTAGAAAAGTTAAATTTTTAAAGTTTTAAAAATTTTGTGGGCTATGAGGTTTTCTGTAATGGTAAATATGGGTAACCGCAACAATTTGACGTAAAAATCTTATTTTTGTCAAAATGAGGGTTACGAGGTATTAGAACGACACCGACGATATGTAATTTAAATGGACCACCGAACAAATTTTCATATTAAATTACACGTCTATGTTGTCTCTGTCATAAACTATGTTTTAGATGCTGCAAATAGGCCTGGCGATCCTCAAATAAGAGACTAATAATAATAATATTATTCTATTGTTTTTTTTTTATTTAAGCAGACTTATTTTTAAAAACATATATTTAGATTAATTTTATCAATTTTTTTAATTATCCTGTTTTTGTTTTGAAATATTTAGGTAGCCTTAATGTAGGGTTATACCTAAATATTTCAAACAACAACAACAAAAAATAATAAAGTGGTGAAATTTTCTAAAACTGTGGTATGAACCTTTATGAATATGCAAAAAAAAAACAAATCTTTCAAATTAATTTTATATAATTTCTGTTGATACTATTTCAATTCGTTGAATTTCTTTTTCTTTTAAATTTTTATACAATTCTGGATATACATTGTGTTTTTTAAATATTACGATTTGAAAAACCATCGTAGAAGAATCATCTCTTCTTATTTAAACGTTTAAACTAGCCCATATCAAAGTTGGCTACTGACATTAGATTTTTGTCGAATTGGCATTTAAAAAATACTGAATTTGACCGATAACTAATGCAGTACCAAGCCAACTTTAATAAAGGTTATTTTAAATTTTAAAAATGCAAAGTTGAATGTCTTACGTTGTTTTTTCCCAATGGTAATGTTAAAAAAATTCCATTTGGAACACCACTGTATATCTGGAACCAAAATTTGAACAAACACTTATAAGCAGGGGCGGCTTGTGACCAAAATTTTGGGGGTTTAAGAAAGGTATATTATAAACTTTCTAAAACACTGAAAGTTTTTTCATACATCTGTACTGATACCTATATTCCGTCACTGTGAACCACCCCACGAGCCGCCACTGTTTATAAGTCCACCTAGACTTCTAATAACCTTTTCTAACACCTTTATTTCCAGGAAATGGACCGAGCGGCATCATATTATCGTTTTTATTGTCCGGAAATATTCCATACATCATCTCGGATGCCCATCCAGAAGAAATGCTATCGGCCAGATTAAGACCCTTGGTCGGGCAATGTCTTCTTTGTCAGGACTTGGGATTTTTGTCTTCCGGTTTGGAAGGCAGATCCACCAACCAAGTGTCTTTGTTGATGGACGCTTTGTTGCACCCTTACGCGGATATGGGATGGGACTTGGAACCGTTGATCGAGTTTAGGAAAACGGGAACTAAGGTTAGTAAATCTACGACAATGTCTTTACTGACCGTAGTAGATTTTTTTATAAACGAATAAAACTTTTTTTTATTTAGGTAGTAATACATATCGTTGGTATACAAGAATAGTGGCATAATTCAAAAATATAGATTTTTCTAAGTTTTTTGTTTCCTGTAAGGATTGTCATTTTAAAAATCTTTAATTTGTTTTTCGAATAAACAGAAGTAGTAAAAAAAAACTTATTCATTCGTAATAAACCGTCGAAAAAGGATAAAGAAATTTTCAAAACGTCATAAAAAACTTGACAAATGACAGATGACAGGCAGACCCCTTAGGTGCCGTCTAAGATCTCTTAAGCATCTACCAATAACACATTTGCCCTTCAAATGTGCACCCAAATCGCCAAAAAAAGGACCCAAAGACCGAAAAACACGATTATCGAGGTTTTTCGCAAGTGTAATTAAATTCTATCGATCCGTTCGGAAGATATGAATTTTTTTGTAATTTTGGAAACCGTATTTTAAATTTTCTCGTTAAAAAGAAATATTTCTATCGAAATATTTAACAAGAATGCTTTGATAACAGTAAGAAAAAAACTTAATAATAATATGAGATAAGACGATCTTCCAGAAGAGGATATTACACAATGTGTTGATAATGACCTTTTCAACAATAATGTCCCAATTTGACTTGTGTCACTGTTGAAGATAATGTTCTTATTTTTAATAAAACTGGCATATTTTTGTGTCGCTCTATAGTTTATTTGAAAATGCATGATAGCACAGTTTTTATGATTGTTCAAAGCAGAAAAAGTATTGATACCTTCTTATCTGAATTTTCACTAGATTTTAGTATGACCACCCCGAAAAATCTCGAATACAATACTTCATAAAATGTAAATGAGCAAACCCTAAGGGATTAACCAATAATTATATACCTCAGTGTCGGGGAACACGAAATTATTTTAATATAAAAAATAGTAAACTGTCAATATTAAGTATTTTTATAAAAATAGTATACTAGATATTAGATTAGGAAATTTCCTTAAAATTTAATAATAAATATACTCCAAATTTATGATATACTAAAAAAATTGTTTCCTCATAAAACACTCATATTTCGTTTTTGGAAATACGGGGTCGTTCGAAATTTCCATTTTTTCTTGTATATTAATATAATATTATAATTATTGTTGTTATATTTTATGATTTCTGATATCAAGGTTCACATTCTTCCAATCAAGTTTTTTTCTTCTTTTTGATTATTTACAGGAACCCATCCCCTGAATATTACTAGCCAATCTGGTTAGGGGAGTTCGACAATTTGAACCCCTCTAACAGTGCAGGCCTATTATTACAGAACTAACAATTTTGAGTGTTACATTTACAGGACTATACGAACAGAAATGTAAATCTTAACTAAAATGTTTTAAAATCTGCATATCATTTTTTGCCGATTAGAAATGTTAATCATTTCTAAGAAAGTTGAGGGCTATTTAAATTGATCTTGAAGTGTAAATATTTTCTACCTGTAAAGATTACATACTTACCTTATTTTTGTTGATTAAAATGACTAGGAAATTTAATTTTTTGGAAATAGCAATATGTCGTTTTTCAATTAAAAAAAAAAATGGGGATTTTGCTATATATTTTTACAATAACCTCAAAAATTTAAATTATTCTTGTGCACCAGCTAATGTTTCGGAAAAACTTTACAGCTTCTGGTACAGTCATAGTTAAAATTTTATAAACATTGAGGGACATAACAAACACTTTATTTTTTTTATGTTTCTTTTCTTATAATGTAGGTGTCAAGGAGTTTGTATTAAATTAGTTTATCGACTGAAAAATCAATTGATCGGCTCAACTATATCATTAGTTTTGAATATTAAATAAAGACTTATTGATTAATAAGCTCCGATAATGATAATATCTCAAGGGCAAATAAATAAATTATTAAATAGAAAAGGTCTAAAACTGTGAAAAAAAAAAAAAAAAAACAATGCTGTGACTGACGAGGAGCACTGCCAAAGTTCGTGGAAAATGTAAAACAAAACGTAAATTGTGTTAGGTCTGTGAACTTGGCACCACAACATTGCAAAAAAGGGTCAAAAATGTGTGAAGGGTTTGCCCATCGTTTGCCCATTATTGCCCATGAAATAACTTTTTTTGCCCACCCTCTGTTTTCACAATATATCGAAAATAATTTTCGAGGGCCAACTTCCAGACAAAAGTTAAAATTTTCATAATTTAATTTCACGGCATAATAGCATTTCGTTTGCCCACGTTTGCCCATAAATTAGTTTTTCAGAAAATAAATAAAAAAAAAAAATATTCACAAAAATGCAATATTATAATTGCATTAGATAATCATTCGTTAGCCCATGTTTGCCCATTTTTTGTTTCACAAATTTCCATAACAATCATTAAGAAAAATTTCATTAAAAAAGGGATTTGATGACAATTCCACTATCCGAGATTTATACGAGTTTGTTATAAAAAAAATCTGATGTGTCCAACACATGACTTTCCTATCTAGTTATTATAGGCTCTTTCCGGTTATTTTGTACAACCTATTGCAGCACCTCTATAAATATTTAAAGGATAAACTAAATATATACATTTAACTCGAAACATTTTTCTCTAGATAACGAAAATACTGAAAAATTTAAATTTAGCACTTTTCCTTCAATTTTTCCAATACGGTCCATTTTAGAAAAATCATATAAAAAACAAAAATTATAGAGATCGATATCATAAATAACTTTTATTTAAACAATTTTCCTAAAAATTTGAATTTTATTACATTTTGTCAAATTTCTCGAATACGGACCATTTAAAAAAAAATTGTATGAAACCAAAATTATAGATAATAATATTGTAAGTAATTTTTATCTGAACAATTTTCTTCTCCAAACATAAATAACAGATATATTCCATAAAATATAAAAACGGCCTCCCATAAAGTACCCCCCCAGATGTTCCGACTTTGTCCATAATCTAATCATTTCACGTCAGGCCGAAATAAACCTTAAGTTTAAAATTTAATGTTTTTTTCTTTATCCGTTTTTGAGTTTTCTTCAAATTTCGAAATTTACAAATTTTCTCAAATATCTCGAATACGGTCCATTTTAGAGAAATTATGTATAGAACAAAAATTATAGAGAATTGTATTAGAAACAACTTTTATTTGATCAATTTTTATAAAAAATATTTTTTTTTACATTTTGTCAAATTTTTCGAATACGGACCATTTTAGGAAAATTTTGCATAAAACAAAAATTATAGATAATTATATTAAAAGTAACTTTTATTTGAAGAATTTTCTTCTCCAAACGTAAATAACAGATATATTCTATAAAATATAAAAATGACCACCCCCCCAGATGTTCCGACTCTGCCCAAAATCTAATCAGCTCATTGGACGCTGAAACAAAGCTTAAGTTTAAAATTTGGTGTTTTTCTGTGTATCGGTTCATGAGTTATGCGTTATACAGACACACACACACACACACACACACACACACACACACACAGACACACACACAGACATCATCGCGAAAAGAGTCAAAACGGATTCAGGGGACCTCAAAACGTAAAAATCCGTCGAAAACTCGAGGTCGAAAAAAATCATGATTCCTATACTTTCCTTATATCTGTATACAGATAGGAAAGTAAAAATGGACAAACATCGAAATAACGCCAAAATATTAGTTACTGAAAAATGGTTTCTAAGGATTGCCCATTTTTTTTAAAAATCCTCGGCTTAATATTATTTATTTTAGGTGATTTTAATATTGATTTCTTGAGAGATAGTAAACCACTGAGAGATCTATTGTCGATGATGTGACTATTTCTTGTTGGACTTCGTGACGGGCTTCGGAAGATTGATCTATGTGACTTTCCGGCCTCATTCCCTGATTTTCTATTTATAGAACGAGCTCTGCTTCTGCAGGTTCTTTGAAGGTGCACGATTCTTCGGCAAATGAAGCATCTTCTGTTCTCATTTTGACTATTTCGTTGCATATTTTGCAGGATATTTAATATTTGCGAGAGGGTAGGTTGGGGAATAGCATTAGTATTGGCCTCCTCATTTTCCTGAGATTTAATTTCTCTTATTTTTGCGCTAGAAGATCTGGATATGAGTTTCAACGCTTCACATCCCTGGGCTGCAATCAATTTCTCCTTCAGCGTCTTGTGATGTTGTAGACGAAGGACTTGCTGCATTTCCGCATCTTGTAGTCTATCAATGAATGCCTATATTCCTATTTCTTCTTGGAAATCGTTGGGTGTCTGTGGATGGGCCAGATGAATCAATCTTCTTATGTCGGCCTCGAATTCCTATAGACTCTCATTATGTCTCTGACTACGAACCTTTAGCTGGATTTAAAATACCTGTTTTAAATGCTTTTGGCCATATCTTGTTTTCAAAGCTTGGACGAGATATGAATAACTGGGTTCTTCTTGGGGAAGTAACTGTAAAACGGTTGCTGCCTGTTCCCGCAGATGTTGTCTGACTGTCAAACCTTAATGGTCTTGCTAGTATGGCTTTGTGAAACTGGATTTTGGACATGGCTTGGTTCGGTTATAGATGAGGACGAGGTAGTGTTTTCAGCTTCTCTATTACTTATCGAAGCTTGGCTACGAATTCGTCTTTCTAACTCAACTAGTTCAATTTAAATTTGCGTTTCCAAATCTACTCTAGCCTTTTCCTGTTGTTTTAAATTCTCTCGTAATTTTAAGCTGACCAACCTCTTGCTTGAAGGTTTCCTGGATTTGTAGCAAACCGTTTATAATTCTTACCTCAGCTTTCCTATGCCTCTATGGATGGAACACTAGATAAACGTGGGGTGCGTAAAAACACTGTTCTCTGAAACTCAGAATGAAGAAAAATATATACGACTTATAGGTAATAGAATAAACTACCCTTCGATATTGTTGAATCCTAATCATTTCAAATTTTTATTTGTCATTTTGAGGGGTAATTTATGCGCTAGTTCAGTGATGATGTAATTATGTCAGTGGAACCAAAATGACATCACACTGAACTAGCGCATTAAACAACTTCATTAATGTCACGTGTAATTTGAGTTGCCTATTAGTAGATTCAAAGACATTTTGTAATGTCTTTGATTAAAATATATTTACGCGTATTTTTGAGACCGAATCACGATTGTAGATTCGTGCCATGAAAAGACCTTTGAAAAGGTCAGTACGAAATGAACCGTTTCGAGAACCGGTAAACTTTAAATGTGTGCTTCAAAACGTTCTTATCAGTAAAATTAGAACAAAACCTGTGGTAGCAAAAAGCCTGGATCATCCCTTGGATACCGGAATTAAGGAGAGCTCTCACGTCACCCCTAGATGTAGTTTGGGTAAGTGATTTGGTCTCAATCGTTTTTTCTTAACCGTTTTATTCATTTTTTAACTATTATTTAATAGAACAATTTTGAAAGACATATAGTCTATTTTTTCTCTGCCTACTGGTTAGGCTATCAACTGTTTCTACTTGCGGGAACGTACAGATATACTTGGGAATATAAAGAAAGGAGTCACCTTATAGGCAACAGTATCTTAAACTTATCAGTGTGTTTCCCAAAACCAAAAGTAGTCACCTTATAGGTAACAGGATAATCTACCTTTCGATATATTTGAATAATACAAATAAAGGAGTCACCTTATAGGCAACAGTATCGCAAATTTTTAGTTACTGAACTTGCTGAAGGCAGCAAGACTTCTAACCCATTTCTTACATTCGAACGCGGTTTTTATACTTTAATTTTCCAGTTAAGCTAATGCATTCGACAAAGAACGATTGAGTTTCTGTCCCACTCAACTTTCACGCAATGTACGGCAAACAGTCCTAATGCGCAACATCTGGCATGCTGAACGTCTCCAACGTTCGAGCTCACATCTAAACAATTTAAACTGAACAAACAAAATACGTGGAAATAGAAAGCGATTGATATTTCCTCGAAAACACCACAAAACATTTAAGAAAAGAACAGAAAAATATTAGGCACAGGGGTATCGGGTTTTAGTATTAAATGGTAACGTTTCTAAAAAATAAGAACGGCAGATTGTACTCATGGTTCCATACGAAACAAGGGCAAAATTAACTCTGAAATATTTAAATTTTGAAAAAGTGTCGACATCTCCTTGACAACTTTAACATTAATTCTATGGGAGGGAAAGTGGTTTCGCTTTCTTAGCATGTTATTTCCCCATTATTCGAGCTCATTGGTATGGAATCGCTTTGAATTTGAGGGAATAGCATTCTACACTCACCGGCACGAAAAACGGAGCAGTTGAATTTTTTTAAACAAACTTAAAATTTTAATGCTTTGTGATGTTTTATTATTATAATATCTTAAACATAAACAAAACAACGTGTTTTAAGCATTTTCTAACAACAATTGAACCTTTATTTGAAGAAAAAAAAAGCGTTTTTGAATAAAAATCAAAAATTGAACGGACTTATCACTTCAAAATGCATAGTTAGTTATGAAACCATGACCAACAATGCTGTTGTTTTCATTGTTTTGAGAAATTTGACAGATCGAAACACGTTTTAAAGTTGTGCTGCGTTTATTTCACCTACAAAATTATGGCTGTTAATCCCGAAATAGCGGCTGCTATTGTTGCGTTGCTTCAAGACGGAAGAAGAGAGCGATATGTTGCCCAACAGTATCACATATCCAATAGCACTGTGCACCGTATTTTTACACGTTTTTTGGAAACTGGAGCATACACCAGACGACTTGGAACTGGTCCCCAACGAAGAACTAGCGCTCATGATGATCGCTTTATCATCTTACAAAGTCTGCGAAATCGTCATGCTACGGCTGTTGAAATCAGAAATCGACTTCATCACGTCCGGCAAACCAACATAAGCGAACGGACAGTTAGACGAAGACTCGGAGAAGCCAATCTTACCAGTCGTACACCTGCAACAGGCCCAGAGCTTCTTAGGCGTCATCGTATTGCGCGATTTCAGTTTGCCAGAAATCATGAGCACTGGGGTGAAAATGAATGGGGGCACGTTTTGTTTACGGATGAGTCCAGATTTAGCCTGCGGTCTCCAGATGGTCGTGAGAGAGTGTGGCGAAGACCACAAGAGCGTTTCGCAGAATGTACCTTCAGTCCTAGGGTAGGCTACCAAGGAGGCTCAGTTATGGTGTGGGCCGGAATTTCTATGGAGGCACACACAGAATTGTACATCCTTCCGAGAGGCTCCTTAACTGCTGCCAGGTACATTGATGAAATTCTCCAAGATTTTGTTGTCCCTTATGTTGACTTTATTGGAAATGACTTTCTTCTAATGCATGATAATGCCAGACCTCACATCGCGAGAATCACTCAACAGTACTTAAACGATGTAAACATTCCTGTTATGGAGTGGCCAGCGTTAAGCCCGGATGCGAACCCAATTGAACATGTTTGGGACATGCTTGGGCGAAGGATGCGAAGTCGTGTTCCTGCTCCTTTAACTTTAAATCAGTTGCAACAAGCTCTTTTAGAGGAATGGGAACATATTCCTCAAGAGGACATTCGTCACTTCATTTTAGGCATGCCAAGGAGGATGCAGGCTATTATTCGAGCACGTGGGGGCAACACACGTTATTAAAATGCGGCTCCCCAGTTTATGCTAGCAAGTCGTTTCAGTTTTGATTAATTTAAGGTCATTTAGCAACAATACCAATTTGTGCTTTTTCGTCTTCGTTTTTTAAATTGTTACAAAACCCTTTTTTTCTTAAAATAAAGGTTCAATTATTGTTAGAAAATCACAAAGCATTAAAATTTTAGGTTTGTTTAAAAAAATTCAACTGCTCCGTTTTTCGTGCCGGTGAGTGTAGATATTCTATGACTACAATAAACTTATTTAACTATAATTTCCTTTAGATGACAAGCGATTTCCTTTCCAGATCGACCACATAGTACTCGGAAAAGGCCCACCCGGCGGTTCCTGGCATCGCATGGACCCCCAAATCCTCACCCTATCCCTCGGCAGTTGGATGGCCCTCCCCGGTCTCCCTTTTCACTCCAGAGACTCCAGCGAGAAGCGCGCCTACGCCTCCAACGTGGCCAAATACTACGCTCACTACACCGAAAAGATGGAGCTCACCAAAAATTTTCACAACTACGTCACCGTCAATTCCGTCAACGCTATCACCAAGAAAGCTGAAGCTAAAAATGACAGTTGGACCACAAACAACAATAACAATGACATAACAAAGTGTTGTGGGGAGATGTGCGAGATTTTAGAACCGGAATCCGATGACAGCGGTTGTGTTAAGAACGCTATAGATTGTTTGATGTTGAAAAATAGGAAGAAGACGCGTTGCAAGTGGTCCAAAAGTAATCACGAATCGAGCGAGGCGTTGAAGAAGAGCGATAAGAAACGTTCGATAAGCTTTTGCTGTGGTACAAATACTTATAATTGTGATAGATTATATTCCAAGTCGATGAACGAGAGGATATACAGGCATTCTTTTAGTTTAGAATTTCGCGATGTGCCTTCTAGCGATTCCCTGTACTGTGATCGAGACGCCAATTGGATGATCGAGTCTGTAGATACGAACACCGGTGATAAAATCACCTACGTCTCCAAATATTTAGTCCTAGCCAACGGCGGTAGCGATTTACCGAATAGGCTGGAAGTGTCCAGGATGAAGAAGGAGCCCAGTTGGATGTTGTACGATTTGGGGAGGTTAGAAAGTAATTTGGATTCCTATTTGAGTGGCGATATTGAAGATATAGATCCGTTATTGGTTGTGGGAGCCGGATTGAGCGCCGCCGATGCTATTATAGCGGCCAGAGGAAGAAACGTACCAGTCATTCACGTGTTTAGACAAAAATCGCCGGAGTTGAGTAGGCATTTGCAGGAGAATTTGTATCCGGAGTATCATAAGGTATTGTAACGTTTATTTACTTTAATTTCTATAAAACACTAATTTATCTGTCTTCCTAATACACTAATTTATATTGACAATATTTTTTATCTGAAAAAACAATCTCTTTACTAAAACTCAACTTTTAACTGCAAATAGCAAATTTATATATAAATGGTACGCTCCAGATTTGTTCTCGAAAATTCTAGACATCTCCGCCAGTCACATCCGGTATTTTCTAGAATATCGCTTGGTAGACTGAACAGTTTCTTTGACTGAGGATTACGAAAAATAGACGTATCACTAGTTTCATCAAATGTTTTTTGTAATGTAAAAATGGAAGCTGTAAAAAGCCCAAACAAGGCAAAAAGGGAATTAAGTGATTAGAGCGGGACCGGACTGGTCGAAAATGGTACGCATGACAGTTAGTTTCTATGATTTATGTAGTGCACAAATACCGAGTGACAATATGAGACCAGGCCACGTTGATATCTTTTTTATTCATGAAGCGATTTGGATCAAATTGATACTTACAAAAAGGCGGATTTTTAAATGGATCACACTGTATATTTTATGTTTTTGAAATCTACAATTTAAATTAGGTCGGTTAATTGAAAATAATGGATTAATCGAAAATATTAGAATAATCGACTAATTAAAAATAATAGACTAATTAAAAATAATCGATTAATCGAAAATAATCGATTAATGGAAAATAATCGATTAATCGAAAATAATCGATTGATCAAAATAGTCGCCTAATTAAAAATAATCGAACACTCGAAAAAATCGATTAATCTAAAATAATCGTTTATTAATCGATTATTTTATCCACCCCTACTGATCACCCGCCCATTTTGGAAATTTGTTAAACGAATTCATTGTAATAAAAAAATAATTACATATTTTAATTTTGTCTAAAAAAAGTGGCTATTCTGATTTTTCATCTCCCCTCCACCCCCTCTTCACCTCCTCCATTTTACTCTACACATGGGTTCAACCTCGTCCGCCGATCCTGCATATGTCATTGTTGCCAGGTTTTAAAAAAATATTCTAAAAAGTAAAATTTGGCAACACTGTAATATTATGTAAATAAATTTGTAATTTAAACCGTAGATTCAAAAAAAAGTTGGTAAAAATTAAAATTTGGCAACACTGTCATATATGTAACTCGAACCGTAGATTCAAAAAAATATAGTCCGAACATGCTTTTTCGTAAAAATTAAAATTTGACAACACTGTCGTGTGCAATTTGAACTGTAGATTCCAAAAATATAAAATATACCTCTAAAAACATACTTTTAAAATGTGGAAAAATAACAGTTTGGCAACACTGTCAAGTGTGTAACTTGAACCGTAGATTCCAAAAAACAAAATGAACTGTAAATTCCAAAAAACAAAAATATACCACAAGCTTTTTTGTAAAAAATAAAAATTTGACAGCACTGTCACTTCTAATTTAAACAGTAGTTTCCAAAAAACAAAATAACCAAAAAAAATTGTAAAATTGCACTGTCGCACGTAATTTGAACTGTAGATTCAAAAAAAAAACCTCAAACATTTTTTTTTTTTTTCATATAAATAAAAATTTGTCAACACTGTCATATAATTTAAATCGCACATTCCAAAATACATAAAATATACCTTAAATACCTCAAAAAAACAATTTTGGTAAAAAAGAAAATTAGTCTACACTGTCATATGTAATTTAAACTATAGATTAAAAAAAAAACAAAATATATATCAAAAAATTTTGAAAAAATGAAAATTTGACAACCATGTCATATGTAAATAGAACCGTAGATTTTAAAAAACAAAATATACCTCTAAAAATATAAAATATACTCAAGAAAATGGTAAAAATAAAAATTTGGCAACACTATCATATAAAATTGGAACGTAGATTCCAAAAAAACAAAAAAAAAATGAAAATTTGTCAGTGTAACTTAAACCATAGATTCCAAAAAACGTAAATTATACCTCAGAAAAACGGTAAAAATTTAAATTTGGCAACACTGTCAGTAATTTGAAACGCAGATTGCAAAATACATAAAATATACCCCAAAAACCAATTTTGGTAAAATGGAAAATTTGGCAACACTCTTATAATTTGAACTATAGATTTTTTTTTTTTGAAAAATGAAAATTTGGCTGCACTGTCACATGTAATTTGAACCGTAGATTTCAAAAAACGTAAAATAGACCTCAAAAAAATTCTGGAAGAAAAATATACGTTTTTTTTTTTTTTTTTTTTTTTTTTTTTTTCGTAAAAATGAAAATTTGGCAACATTCTTATGTAATTTGAATTGTAGTTTCCAAAAAACAAAATTAAAAAAATTGTTTTAAACTTTTTTTTATATAAATAAAAAAGTGTCAATACTGTTAGTAATTTGAAACGCAGATTCCAAAATACATAAAATATACCCCAAAAACCAATTTTGGTAAAATGGAAAATTTGGCAACACTGTCATAATTTTAACTATAGATTCCAAAAAACACAAAATAGATACCAAAATGTTTTTGGTAAAAATGAAAATTTGACAACACTATCATATATGTAACTCGAACCGTAGATTCCAAAAAAATTTATTTTAAAAATGCTTTTTGGTAAAAATTAAAATTTGGCAATACTGTCATATAATTTGAACTGTAAATTCCAAAAAATGAAAATTTGGCAACACTGTTACATGTAATTTGAATAGTAGATTTCAAAAAACGTAAGATAGACCTTAAAAAAATGGTAAAAATTAAAATTTGACAACACTGTCACACGTAATATGAACCGTAGATTTTGGAAAAAAATTTATTTTCTTTTTTGCAAAAATTTAAAATTTGGCAACACTTATATGTAATTTGAACCGTAGTTTCCAAAAAAAACAAAATAAATCAAAAAATTTGAAATTTATAATTTGGCAACACTGTCACAAGTAATTTGAACCGTAGATTCCAAAAAAAAACCTCAAACATATTTTTTTAAAATAAAAATTTGAACCGTAGATTCAAAAAAAAATAATTAAAAAATATTAAATTACCTCAAGACAAATTTTTTTTTGAAAAATGAAAATTTGGCAGCACTGTAATTTGAAAAATAGGACAATAATTATTGAGAACAACATTACAATCAACTTTTTTTCAAATAATTTTCTTCTCCAAGCGTAAATAACAGATATATTAAAGTAGAAAACTAACCCCTATAAAGTACCCCCAGATGTTCCGACTATGTCCAAAATTTAATCATTTCCGTGCAGGATGAATTGAAGTCTAAATTTAAAATTTAATAGTTTTCTCTTATTCCTTTTTTTTTGAGTTCAAAATTCGAAATTTGTAATTTTCTTTAATATCTCGAATACGGTCCATTTTAGAGAAATTATTTGTATGGGACAAAAATTGTAGATAATTATATCATAAACAACTTTTAATTAAACAATTTTCATAAAAATTTGTTTTTTTTACATTTTGTCAAATTTCTTGAATACGGACCATTTTAGGAAAATTTTATATAGAACAAAAATTATAGAGAATAATATTAGAAGTAACTTTTATTTGAAGCATCTTCTTCTCCAAACGTAAATAACATATATATTTCATAAAATATAAAAATGACCCCCTATAAAGTACCCCCCTAGATGTGAAAAATACGTATTTTTTATTATTATTGTTAAAATTTTTGTTCAGGTCCATCAAATGATGCTGGACGGCGGTTCGACCTACCCCTACTACACCGCCTACCCCGAATACAGCCTGACGGACTTCAACGACGAGGCCAGAACGGTGATCATAACCTCCAAAGAAGGCGTCAACAAGAAAATAAACGTCTCCTTCGCCATCATACTCATCGGTTCGATGCCAGATCTCTCATTTCTACCGAAGCATTACAATTTGGCGAACAACAAGCATTTATTATTAGATTGCAAGACCAATACGGCCGATATAGACGGATTGACGTACGCCGTACGCGGGTATGACAATTTGTTCGCGATAGGACCTTTAGCTGGTGATAATTTCGTTAGGTTTCTCTCAGGCGGGGCTTTGGCTGTGACCGCTGAGTTGTATAGGAGAGGCGAGTACAGCTAAAATGTGATTATGTTTTGTTGATTTTAAGGAATGGAAAAGTGAGAAATTTGACATGGTTTACACCTAGGTATCTTTTAGATTCATTGTCAAATTCAATCTATATTAACTTCCTAAACATAACTGGGACCCTTATTTATCTTACTTTTGTTAGTAATTGATGGATAACGTACCACATTCGGCATTTGACAGCTGATCTATGACATTTTACAGCTAATGTACGACATTTGACAGCTGATGCACGACATTTAACATACAGTTATTGAAAGATAAAAAGGTGGTAAATTAAAGTCAAAATAGTGATGTGTTGTACCTTCAATGATGCAACAAAAGAAGAAAGAATTGGAAAAAGATCGAAAGGACTGGTTTTGAGTGGAATCTTGTACTTTAATGGAGCGGATTTTTTAAAAATGTTATTATTTTATTAATAAAATCACTGGTAACCACTAAAAATCACAGTTATCGTCCAGAAATTTACTGCTTAGTTCATCTCTAGATCAAAGAACAATAATATTCTGGAACAGGATGCGTTATTTTGTTTCCAATGTCGTTTGTTCCCTCTCCTACTTAATATAATGAAAGGGTGCCTATCACGACGATACAAAGAAATCATTGTGTTAAAGAGAGAAAGTAATATTATTTAAAATGTATAAGAAGAGTTAATTTAAAATTGAAGTTAATGAGCCGAACAAAAACGAACCATTCTGTAATTGATTTTAATATAAAAGATGAATTTTTTTAATACATTATTTGAAGGTAATAAAAAGTAATGGCTTAGAGCACAAATGTTGTATGTCCAAAAATGTAGTTTTGAGTAAAATCCATTTGAAAGTTAGAGATGACTATGACGAGCTGTATAATTTTTATTTACATTAGTTTACTGAATGGTAAACCTATTTAAGTGGACGTACTATATTTGGAAACCAATAAGATTTCATCATGTAGGATATAGAATCCTAGCTATCCATTTTCGACAAAAATGGATATACAATATTTGTACTCTTAACCATTGAACAAAAATATTTTTATTTGAGTTGTTTTGTCTCTTTCTGACAAATATATTTCCCTAATATTTGACAAGTGACAGCTGTCATACTCTTCTACTTATTTCACCTGCTATTTTTTTACAATATCAATGTATTTACTCACATTTTGTGTTCTTATTTCATTTATATTTTTCTACTTAAGATGACGAACTTATTTGTATACTTAAATTAAAAAAAAGTATTTTATACATTTTTTTGATGATATTTTAATGTGTAATTTTCTCACTTTTTGTTGTTATATTTTGTTGATATTTTTTGTTTAATTTTAAAAGTTGTTATCTATTGTGAAATATATTTTTAATAAATAAATCCTAGCTGGTTTTAATTATCATTCACAAAAAAATGTTTCTGAAGTAAGCCTGGCCAACAAAGACAAAAAAGAGTCACTTCGCAATAGCTAATAACGCCTCTGTATTAAAAAAAAGTAAAAAAGAAGAATTGTACGCTCAGACAGATGATTTTTACATAGCCTACCATTAGAAACATATAGCCGAGAATTAATATTGGTCATTGAGGCGCTAAAGGGTCGTAACCACAGGAGAGCACATAGGTGCAATATAATACCATAATAAGAAAGTTGAACAAACTCATTCCTCAACACAGATGAAGATCTCGTAGTTAGACCTTTAAATTATGGATTTCCTGATACAACAAGTACACATTTTTAAGTTAAAGTCTCTACCGTAAGAAAGATTTAGAAAATTATGTATTTATGAAATTCACTTTTAATCGCCCTGTAGAATGAAAACTGGGACGTTTAATGGAAAATTATATTTATACATATAAGGCTCGAAACAGACCGTTAAGGTCTATGGCCTGGTTAGTTTCTTCCTTTCGTCCCTATTCTTGGCGTTTTCTTTCCAGTTGATGATTTTTTTTTTCTTTAATATCTTCTATAATCGATTCTCTCCATTTCCTTCTAAGCCTTCCTCTCTTTTTATTTCCTTCTGGTGTTGTCCAAGCTACTCTTTTTACTGTCCTTCAGTCCTCCATCCTTTCTAAGTGTCCCAACCATTGTAACTTTTTTTGACTGTATTATTTCGTATATGTTGGGTTCGTTAAATATTTCGTAAATTTCTTTGTTCGTCTTTCCCATCCTTCTTCTGTCTTTTTGCCCCCATATATTCTTAGTATCTTTCGTTCCCATATTTCAATTTTGGTCTGTTCTTTCTTATTTAGTGTCCATGTCTCACTACCGTATAGCATTGTAGGTCTGATTATTATTTTGTACACACATTTCTTTATTTCCCATGACAATTCTTTAGATTTACGTAAATTATGTAAAGCTCCTGCGCATCTATTTCAGCTTGTTCTTCGCATCTATTTGTAATGAGAACACCGAGGTACATATAACTGTTTCGTCTATTGTTATTTTTCGTTTGGTTTTAGTTTGTAATTCTAGTTTTCCAGGATTTTTTCTTAAATGTTAGTTTTTCAGTTGCATGTACTGACTCTTTTTTTAATTTATTTTTAGCCCCATTGTTCCTGCCGCGTCTAATTACTTCCGTTATGTTTTTAAGTTCTTTTTGGCTTCTCGCTAACAGTACATCATCTGCGTATGCTAATGCTTGGTGGGATCTGTTGATCAGGGTTCCATATCTGTTTACTCCACTGTTTCTGATGACTATTTCAAGGATAGACATGGGCCCCCTGATACTACACCTAAGTTTTCGACCTCGTGGGGTTGCCGCTCGAGGGGGTGGAGGAACGAAAACTCTGCGTCGCGACGCTGTTGTGGTAAGTGTTATCGAAAAAAAGTTCCTATTAAATATGTACAGGACAAAATCGTGCACAATTTTTGTCTCCGACCAATAGTTTCCGCTCTACGACGCGCCAAAGTAAGGAGTTGACCTGCTTTGTTCAACAAAATGAGAATTTCAGCGCGGACTAAGACGAAGATCGCTATGAAACAATTTTTTAATTTTTTTTCTAAAAGAGTAATGATTTCTAAGTCTGCAGATGCTCGATATGATACATTTGGTCTTATATAATAAACGATATGATGTTTTGAAGCGCGCCCCTACATATTCTGATATAAATATTTTGTAATTATCAGTATCTACGGTCAATATTTTTGTATTATTGTTGACTAAGGGTGGTATTACAGAACGTCTGCAACTTTGCAACTTTGCGGATCTGCAAATATGGCGGACTTACAAACGCAAGTATTCTAAAAAATATCTGCAAATTCGCAATATTTATTGTGGTTTATTACCCCCAACAACACTAAACCCAAATTTGGAATACGAAAACTTGATACTTGCATGTGTAAGTCAGTCATATTTGCAAGATTTTTAAAGTTGCCGCCATATTTGCAGATCTGCAAAGTTGCAGACGTTCTGTAATCTCACCCTTAGGCGCCAAATTTATTCTTTTTGTGCATACATGATACAAGAAAGTATCATTTTCAACTCGTTTCCACACCACCCCGAGGTAAAGTTGATCGGCGCGTGTTTTTTTAACGTGGTATCCCCAAGAAGCCTAATCCACAGTAGATATTTGCGTGTATTCGTCAAACTCGGTGTTGTATGTTTGGTCCATTATCGTCCTATAACTGATTGTGAACGTTTTCGGCATCTTCTGCATTGTCGTCGTCTAACTCAATCTGGTCCGGAATGTTTTTGCAGGACATCCCAGTACAGTGTAAACACAGAATCGAACATTTCAATCCTATTTTACGGCAACCATAAGCAGAACAACAACCTTTCTTGCATCTGCACGAGACGATCTTAAGTAAAACATCTGGAGCTGGTTCCTTTGCCATCCGTACTGCGTCCAGTCCTGTGGTTGTTCTTGGAAATCCATGATATTCTGGAGGTTTCTGAACTTCCCGCGCAGCTCTGTACAATAGGTTCTTTCGTTCGTGCCACTGGTGTAATTGGGTGTAGTAATGAACTACACCAACCCACACCCATACCTTTCGTTTGGTCCGGTGTAAAACCCACTATACATTCCTGTCGGCGATGTGGTGTACACTGGTGGATATTTTCTCCACCAGCTATTTAGCAGGAGTGAATTACACTCGACGATGTGTATAAGGAATAAGGAGGAAGTAAATTAGGGTAAATAAGGTGGTGTAACTGGTGTAATTTACACTGGTGGACACTACACCAATAGCGAATGAAAGAACCTAATAATGACCGTTTTTGTGTATCTCCGTCGTCTTTACCTGCCTGTCCCTAGCCAATGTTCGATTTAGACGTATGCTCTGTGCACCCATAGAACTAATATTAGGCTACATAATAATAAAAGTTTGAATAAAATTTGCAATTTTGTCAACATCGAACGCCTGCAAGAGGCGGGTACAGCTTTTTATTTTGATATTGCTAAAGTAATAGACGGTATCTGTCTCTTTTAGCCGTTAGATATTGAAAAAATTGCAAATTTTATCCAAAATTTACTATGTAGCACGGAAAAGAATTAATATATTACATACTCATAAATAATAATAAATAATAAGTTGAGGCCAAACAAGGGGCACGTATGCTATACCACAAACAGGATATTCATAACAACTATAATGCACAGAAGTAATAAATTTGGCACCAGGTCAACAATAATAAGGAAATATTGACTTCAGATTCTGATAATTACAAAATCTTTATATCGGAGTATGTAGGGGCGCGCTTCAAAACATCACAGAATGTATTATATACGACCAAATGTATCAAATCGAGCATCTGCAGACTCAAAAATAATTACTCTTTTAGAAAAAAATATATAACAATTGTTTCATAGCGAACTTCGTCTTAATCCGCGCTGAAATTCTCATTTTGTTGAAAGAAGACAAAAAATTGTGCACGATTTTGTTCTGTACGTATTTCATTTGAACTTTTTTTCGATAGCACTTACCACAACGGCGCTATATCCGGTAAAGCGTCGCGACGCAGAGTTTTCATCCCTCCACCCCTCGAGCTGTAAACCACCGAGGTCGCAAACTTAGGTGTAGTATCAGGGGACCCATGTTTACCATCCCACCCCCTTATTCTTTACCCACCGCTTGGACTAATAATTAATTAAGATTTACAAGTCCACAATTTGATACTTTTTTTCTAAAACACCCTGTATATTAAAATATTTCGATCAGTTGGCTTAGAATAATTAAACGCTTTGACATTTAGAAATTACTTGACATTTTATAACATAAGTGCGTTTAGGAACCTCGCACGGTGCATTAGAATAGAATTCAGACGCGCCGTGCGACATTTCTAAACGCACTTACTACCAATGAAGTGGAGAGGGGTAGAATGATAACTGTCAATGAAAAAGTCTGGACACTATGCACAATTTCGTTTTGCACATTTTGTAAACAAAATTCAGGGACGGTTTAACAACATTTTATGCAACAATTATAAAATAGTGCATCGAAAAATAATTAACAAGTATAATTTAATACTAAATCGGAATAAAAGCATAAAAAATCATAAATATAAGCAAGATAACAAAGAATTGACGCCAAAAAAGCGTACAACAGCCCAAACACAAACAAAAAACAGAGCTGAACATGAACATAATCCCTGAATAAAGTCGATCCTGGAATTTGTTTACAGTGCTTTAGGGCAACCTCTCCTTGTCATTTACGTGTGTAAGAGTGGAAGGCTGAATCACGCATAATTTCTACACTCGTGATGGATGCGCAGACGGTACCTTATCGTTCTACCCTCTCTACTTCTTTGCTTACTACTAATCTATATTAATTTAAAAGAAAAGTTTGAGTGATTAGTAGATTTTTCCTATAATGTAAACAAAATTAGTCAAATAAGTTATGCAGCCAATATTTCGTTTTTGTAATGTTGGTTGCCTAGTTCAAGGCGTTAATACAATACGTGATCGAATGTTGATAGTATGAGGGTATGAGCAATTGTTTAAAGAGTAGAGACTTTAAACAATGGTATGAGTTAATACCAATGATCTGTAAAGTGAATATTGAAAAAATTTAAATAGTTACCTGAAGATTATAAATAAAATAATACATTTTATAGGAAATAATATGGTTGAAAAATATCAGTAGGATATCTATTTCTAAAAAACTATATGAAAAATCCATCAGTTCATGAAACTGTATACCTATATACCTAGGTAGTTCTTAATAGTAATAACCCGAGAATATCTATAATCGAAATAATTTTATAACAGTTCGAAAATAAATATCTAACTTGTTATAATGTATTATTTTATTAATTTAAGGGGCAAAATTAATTTATTCAAAAAA